ACAAACCCCACTGTGACTACCTCTCAATTACAGCCAATGCCTTATTCCAGCCTCCTCTTCTGAACTCTACCATCCCACTGTGGATGGGATTAAGATGTGGAAGAAATTTCTACCAAGGCAATCATTTCATCTCTTTCTGAACAAAAACAGAGACAACAGGATGATAACTCACGCTCCCATGTCTACGGATATATTGCAGTTTGTAATTTAGTGTAAAGGTCTTTGTAAATCTCCACCAACATGAGGCTGTAGAGATAAATTTGTAGTCTGGGAACCTCTGCAGTGAAGCCAGATATCAGACGACACAGCTAAAATCAAGAAATGGCTTCCCTTTTGCTGAATCACACTGGGGAGCAGTGGGTTTAAGACTGATACTCTGGTATGTATGGTAGTCTGCAGTTTGAAGAATTCAGTCAAAATCTGAAGGCATTAGAAATGGTTTACTGCAGTTTAAGGTAACATATAGACAACTGGAGGATTAGATATTAATTGTCTCAGGATTTTAGGCCGTCTGGCTCTGGTGTGCTCAAGAATTTCCATATTTGAGGTTGGTCCTGGAGTGTTTGCACTTCCAGGTGAACAGAGTGATGACTTTCTGTCATTACGGCATGACGGATAGTCTTGATTCACTGAAATCTGCCAAACCACCATGACATTGTAAATGGAGTCAATGGGCTCAGTAAATCTAAATGCCTTTCCTCTCTAACTTTGGACAAAACTTTGTTCAACATGAACCCCTTCCCTACACCGCTGTAACAGTAATTGGCTGTTTTTGTTCAGATTTGTCTTACAGTTACATAAATAGATTCCAATGAATATTCGGGTCATAAAATTTTGAGTTTGAAATCTTTATATGTCAGTCATCATTATCATCCATATCTACTTTCCTGGTTAGAGAGGAGATACTGCACTAAATCACATCAGTGCAGCCCCTTTCAGACATACACTCCTTTCCATTATCTGAACAGCGACTGAACGTGTCGGCTTCATGTCTGAATGAGCGCCCTGGTCTCCTTTCAGTAAAAAACTGCAAGGGCATTCTTCCTGGGTCAGACCTAGTAACATTTTCATATCACTTTCAACACGGCACAAGCCTGAGCTGCATGCAGTCGCATTAATGGATAGGCACGCACAAGCGACAGAGCTGTGTAATGCTATTTAGGGAAGGCTTTTTCCACAATTCAGCAACATTATATGTCAGAAAACATCCCAAAAGGCACAGTTTTCAAGCCAATGTCACTTTACTCTTTAATTTCATGTGAATTAGGCAACAAGCTGAAATATCCTTTAAAATGAAACATTACTAAATAGGCACTCAGGTTAATGATATTCACCAATAAAGAATATCATCCAGGTTTTTGGAAAAATATTATGGTGGTTAGAGGTGGTTAGCATCGCTGCCTCGCAGCAAGAAGGATCGCCGGTTCGTGTCCTGGTGAGGATCTTTCTGCGTGGAGTTTGCATGTTCTCCCCGTGCAATGTGGGTTCTCTCTGGGTTCTCCGGCTTCCTCTCACACAGTCCAAAATCATGTGGAGGTTAATTGGCGATTCTAAATAGTTGCTTGGTTGTCTGTCTCTAAGTGTAGCCCTGTGATAGACTGGTGACCTGTCCAGGGTATCCCCTGTCTTCACCCAAAGTCAGCTGGAATAGGCTCCAGCCCCCCGTCACCCTAGTGAGGATTAAGCGGTGTATAGATAATGGATGGATGGATGAAGTTCGGTTTGTAGGAGCTCTTCCTCTGAATCTAATAAAATCTCCGCCCAGTCACCAAGTAAGCCCCTAAAATTCCCACCTGTGTACGCACGTGGAACAACTTTGTCAGAAACTTGATTAATTCCTTTCAGCAGTCATTCTCACCATCAGTTGAAATGCCATCTTCAAACACAAAGCCCACAAAATGTTACCATCTCTGAATCCTCACACCGACTGTCAGGAAACACTTGAGTTATTCAAGGCCACAAACACACGGGCTAAAATTCGTCCTCGATGTGCACCTTAGAACATGATTGAAAGCCTGTCGCTGTCTGAACTTTAAACGAGAGAACGTGCACGCAAAAAAAAAAAAAAAAAATCCACTACGGGAACCTTCAAAATGGAGAAAGTGAGCCACAATAGCTTGTCAAAGTGTGTTAAAGGGCGACAAAAGCTTAGCAGGAAAGACAGGCCAAGAGAGACTGAATGACTCATAATGTGCAGACCCCATCTTGGCACTGCAAATCACAGCGTCCAGAGAGTAAATGTGATTAACCTGCAGAAACACTTCTTAAATGAGGAGGATGAAAAGGACACATTTTGGGCCGCAGCGGGTTTTATACCAGCGAGAGAACAGAGCTTTTATTGTGCTGCAAACAAAGACAGTACAAAAGGCCCATCCTTCATTCACTGCCCCTGAGAGTCAGGTGGCAACACTTTAAGCTCCAACTGGATACTGATCCTGTAACAAACATGATCTAATAACTAGTTCTTATTTATCTCTGTTTGTTTTCACTACATATCTGGTTAGTCATTATTTTATACAAAGTTTATTGGAGAAATAATGTAATTAGGTAACTACTATACAGCATCGCAGACATCTCACACTAAGAATTTAATGAGTCAAGTTGCTTTCTTTTGGCCGGAAACCTTCCTGCTTTGTGGGCTTTTTCACCCATCAAGTACATGGGGATGAAGTTTTTATGGCGTGGAACTGGTCAAATGTAAAGAAAACTACTGTATACTGCCTTTGAGAAGTTCAAAAATATCACTTCTGGCTTTAGCATAGAAAAACTCATTAATCTCTGATACACAGTTTGGAAGAAAACTTGCATTTTAGACGCGTTGAAAACTTTTTTATGAAGACTATAACATTGTTGAGGGCATTAATTAGTGTGACTCTGGATACTTGGTACAAGATGCAGCTCATCAGCAACATCCAGCAGTGCAGCGTTGCCACTGTCTTAGTGGGGAAACTGTTACGAATGTCAGTAAAGTGGCATCAGGAGAAAATGTAAGCCCAGTATGAAAAACTGAACCCTTACATTTATCTGAAAAGAGTCAGTCTGTAGAGAAGTCCAATGTAGGGGACTCCAGCAAAACAAAAGTGTTGAGCACCCAAAAACTTCAGTGACATTATCTGCCAAGGCGCTGCACTGGCTACTCGAATACAAGCAAACACACGTTTCTGAAGGACTCATTAGTGTCATGAAAGGCACATTTCTACTCATAACCTTAGGACTGTCAAAACTAAAGATAAAGCTGTGATTTTCCAGAGTTGCTACCTCCTGTCTGTGATCAGTGTTTTTAATCGTCCATCCATCCATCCATTATCTATACATTGCTTAATCCTCACGAGAGTCGCATGGGGGCTGGAGTCTATCCCGGCTGACTTAGGGAGACGGGAGGGGACACCCTGGACAGGTCGCCAGTCTATCACAGGGCTACACTTTTACACTACAATTTAGAATCACCAGTTAACCTCAACATGGTTTTGGACCTTGTGGGAGGAAGCCGGAGAACCCAGAGAGAACCCACGCTACACGAGGAGAACATGCAAACTCCATGCAGAAAGATCCTGGGTGTCCTCACTGGGACGCAAACGGGTGACCTTCTTGCTGCGAGGCAACGATGCTAACCACATCTCCACCTCGAAGCCCCTTTTTTTTAACAGAATAAATATAAATACTGACTGCAGTGAGCTAATATAGAAGACCTGAACATCTAGTGGATTTGGGGCTCATTGTCTTCACTGTGGACACTCCAAAATGTGGACAAGTCAAAAAGGCTCGACCTCTTTGTTTTAACTCCATAATGTACTTCATACAGCGGGTAAGCTTCCTTTCTATTCTGTGAACATGTATACTTGTGCATGTATAAGTGTTGCTCTCCGGTTGCACTGCCACAACACTACAGAGGGGTTTCTGTGTCCCTGTGTTGAGTTTCTTTGTGCACTTCAAACAATGGTGACTCAAAAGGAGCAGATCATGTCTGAGTTGAAGCTAATAAAAGTTGAACAACAGTTACTTTTACCCAAATTACTGCAGCGCACAAAAGTCAGAGGACGTCACAACTGATTGAGCCTATGAAGGGATTGTTAGAGCGGTGAAAATGAGAAAACAGCACATGGCTACATTGGCAGAACGCCGGCTCTTGCGTTTGCATCATGAGAAAGCCAGATACAATTGCAGCTTATTGCATGTTTCTCAGAAGCATGATCTTTGTGCAAATCAATCCAAACCATCCCAATTAATTCTGTGTAAACACGGCATATATCACCACCAGGCGGACGAAGCAGGCCAATTACAGTTTTGTGTCACAGCAAAGTGTAGTCACATTTACATACGACACTCATCATATAAGTGGCATATCGAATGTAAAGCTGCCTTCTTAGGGAAGGTTCGAGCCTTAATTGGTGCCTATGACCCACCAAAGCCCCAAGAATTTAGGTATAAGAGCGAATTTATCTGGTATGGAATAAAATGATACACCACGATGGACCATATATGTTGACAGATCAATTAACATTTAGTTGAAAAAAGTGAAAATAGCCACATTGTAGTCAGCAGCACAGCTGAGTTAACTGTCATTTAACACTGAGCCAGAACACCAACAAATACCAGCAGTTACCGCATGCCTGTCTTCTCCTATTCAAGCATACGGAACTCCACAAATGCTGCCAACTTGCTTCGAAGGCATGGAACATGCAGCACAGTGAGGGACAAATGCAGATTAGTAAGCAGCAGCATGAAATCTTCACACTTCTTACAAAAACAAATTCAAAAAGACTGAACAACTCTCACAGTATGCTGAGCTAAGCCAACTGCTAATGAATCATCTCCACTTGATTGTTGAGAGTGAGTCATGAGGGCTGGTGAGATGTGCTTCAGATTTTGGGGGAATCAAAACGTTTTAAAAAAAAGCTTAATACTAAAATCTTTTATTTCTTTTAAAGATGCATTTTCTTAAAGATCAGAATGACTAATTAAAAGCATATTGAAGTGGAAAATGATGAAAGAGGAGTTACCGGGGGACTTCTGAAGATATAAAAATATGGTCCTCTCAGTGCCAGGAACTTGAATACTGAAGTTCGACCAGCGGCGCTGCCCTCGGGGCTTTCACACGCCCAGCCCATGTGAACGATCTGCAGGGAGACGGAGGATGACGTTTACACAATTTCGCAAATTGATCAAGCAAGTGGAAAATATACACAATAAAAAATCTATTATTGCTTCGTCACCAGACAAGAATTACAAACACACGCTGCCGATGGAAATGAATCAAACACAAACTACGGTGATGCAGCTCGGAAGTGATACATTTAAAAAGATCCTCCTCAGTAGAGCGGTGCTGCAGTCTCAGCCGCACTGCAACAATTTACCTTTGATCTACACCAGATTGACTTGGGATGTTTCTCTGCTCCCGTCTAGGCAGAGGAAAGCAGAGAAACATCCCAAGTTCTCTGTCTGTACTGCACTGCTTCACCTCCTACACCACTAACTCCTGTTATTACCAGTGTACACTGATGTCTAGGTGCTGGTCCAGACTACATCCTGGCAATACCATCTAACTTATGAGCGATACGGTATTATTTAAGGTTATGATTTGAATTTGAACCAATTTTGGGGTTTTTTTTCCCAAATGGTTAACTGGCCAATTGGAATTTGATCCTGTAGATTCCAGGCAGAGCTGCTACAAGAGCTGCAGTTATATGTAGATGACGCTATTTTAGACATTCCTGGTGAAGGACGTTAATCTGAACAGGGACCTACATCAAATAAACATGTGTAAGGAAACCCTCAATATGTAAGACTATGATACTCTAAGAATTTGTACTTTTATAGTTACCAGCTGATGTCTACTTAAAATTAACAATAAATCCAACATCTAACTAGCATTTTAGATGAACTTAAAAAATGAGCTAGAAGGAGGCCATGAAAAATATTGGAGTTCATCATAGGCCGTCTTCCAATGTAGGTAATATGGCCCATTTTAGGACAAACNAGAAGGAGGCCATGAAAAATATTGGAGTTCATCATAGGCCGTCTTCCAATGTAGGTAATATGGCCCATTTTAGGACAAACTAAACCTCTGTTCCAACTGCAGAAACCCTGTGGTAGAACCTGAAACAGATACTCCTGACTATCCCTGAAACACTGTTGTCTTATCCGTTAAATTCAGATAAGCCTAATGCTGATTGGTTAAGCTCCGAGAGGGCAACAAGCACCATTTTTCTCCCCTTGCTGTGTCCTTGTCGAGCAGCAGTCTTCTCCTCTCCAACGTCGCCATCTTAAAACAGGAAATTCACTGAATAGTCTAACATAACACATTCTCCTTTGTTCTATTACCTACATGCTCACAGAACTGGAGTTATGTTTAGTAACTAGGATTTGTTTTTTTTTTTGGCACACTAGTAGTTTACGTCATGGTCGAAGCTCTTGGATGCCACATCGCAATGGAAACAGAAAGGCTGAAAGGGCCAATTAGGGGGCAGTTCCTGTAAACTTTCGTGCCACCTCATGCCTGCCCTGAGTTCCTGCAGAGAAAAGCTGCCTCATGACACCGTCTGCTCTCACAAGCAGTCCCCAGCACTTAGCCACAGATGTACAAATTGCTGCTCTTACAGTCAAAATGCACATTCATGAGGTGCTGCCCGAGCGGTTAAGCAGCATATTATAAAACCGCAGCATTTTCACTTTGACTCTGGCATCTTCCACTTCCTCTGTTCTGCATCTCTACAACTACAGACTAAAAGTATAGCGTCAGAAGTGGTTTGATGTTGTACTTATAGCAATGAGTTTCAGGAAGATATGAATGGCTGGTGTGTTGAGTGAGGCCAGTGTCGGCATACCTGATCGTCCGAAGTGCAGTATTTGTTCACTATCTTTATCTACGAGAGAAAAAAAGAAACACGTTTACAAAAAGCTTCAGAGCAGACTGCATTTCATAAAGACATTCTGACCCCATCAATAGCTGTGAAAAAGATTATTGAGATACTCTTAACACGCACGTCTTCACAGCCTATTTATACAGCTTTTCTACTGCCGGATAAAATCTAAATAGTTTCCTGTTCATACATCCAAGAGGTTTAGGTCTACTAACCACTTGCATTGTACACAGCTTATTAGATGGAACAAAGCAACATTTTCATCTGGATGAAACATTTTTGTGCCAAACAGCACTTACACTAATTAATTCCATTCAAATTAAAAACAGAAACTCAAATGACAGCATATAATCACCTGGGAAACACACTCTACAATAAATGAATGTGTTTCATCTATTGACACGATAGAGACTGTTAATTTCTCACAAGCTGCCCAGAATGCAGAAAAATGGTTTAATACATACAAAAAAATAACTCTGAATGTAATCCCAGTATGTGACCTATAAAAATATAATATGCTTTAGCCAAATCAGACAGCAGCGTGTCCCACAGGAGCTCCCTTTTGGTTTGATCTATAAAACAGCAGTTAGCAGGGTTGAAGTCAGTGGATTATTATGCAGGTCGACTAAAGACCACCTTCCCAAAAAAAAAATGTTGCATGACACTCTAAAAGAGCAGCCGATTTCAAAATGTGCACCTTTCTCTGGAAGGTTATCACACAGCCAGAAAAATGTTGCAAACCTGTGCAAAACATTGTCACGCTGAAAGCACACCTGGTGTGTCAGCATATCCACGCTCAGCATGGCACTTGCTGCTCGCTTGTTCCACCTCAGCTACATTCAGAAGGTTGGTTGTCACCTGGAATCTGAGTTTTATGAGACACCAACACGCTGCCCAAATCTTTTTTTTTCTTTTTGTTTGGAGTGTCTGAAAGAACATCAAAGCGCATCAAATAATCCTCCGCTGTGCCAGATGACACTCATCCACGTGGAAAAACTCGAGACGGACCCCAGGGGTGTCACAGAGTCTATTTAAAGGTTGTAGGTCATTAAAACAAAAGTTCCGCTCTCTCCCAAAGCGGGCACACAATTACATCCTGATTGGCCATTTAGCAATCACACTCCTCGTCCGTAATTAGGTGATGCAGGCATGAATTAATCACACTTTAAAAAAGGCAGCTGTGCAATCGACGAGCACTGGCATACAGTACGTCTGCATCCTTTACCAAAAAAAATGCTTTGCATCATCAGTGTGATAATCAAAGTGAAATAGGAGGAAATGAGAGAGAGAAGAGCACATGCCGAATGACTACTTAGCAGTCATTAATTAGGTATGAGAGAGCCTCTTTTTTTGTCGGCGGAGGGAGAGAGGTGCCACTGTGAGTCAACGAGTGCTTGTCAGGAAGGGTCTATTAAAACCATGTTAATGTGTGAGGGGGAAAAATACATACAATGTGGGCAAAACATACAGCACTGCTAGCTGCACTGTTGGTGTTTAAAATATCGTAAGAGAATCATAAATCACTCGCCGAATTCCTGTTAAATTCTATGATTCCCAAACAGAATTGATATTATCTAAAAATGACCATGTAACTTTAATCAAACATCTCGTGTAGCTGATTCTGTAAGTAAAAAAAGAAGCACTCATAAATCTGATAAAAGCCGCGTCATTGCACACATACGTATCTATGAAGCCATTCGAGTTCAAATCGCTGGTTTTCTTTTCAGCCTCGTTTTCAATAAAGCCCCCGAAGAAAGATCCGAGCGAGCCTCTAATGTTTAGAGATGGACTTACGTTCTCCTGCGTCAAGTCATTGATATTTGTAGATATTGCTTGAAGCCAGTCTGTGCTTTCTGCTGCGGTGCAAAATTGAAGAATATTGGTGCTGGCTCCATCCAAGGCAAAGACTTCAAAACAGTTGCACCTGGAGAAGCACAGGGGTCAAAATTAGACAGAAAAGAAGCAATAGATTGAAGATGCTACTGCACAAAGTGAGGCTGAAGCAGTTTATAACTCCATTTACAGTGACGGGCTAGTGGCAGCCAATTATAAGAATGCTGGTCACATTTGTGTCTGGTTACAAATGTTTTAATTAAATGCCTTGACAAAATAAAAAAGAGAAGAACTTCGCTAATGGCAAATTAAAATTAAAGAAAACAACTGAGCTTTTGTGTCTTTAATGCATAAACTGTATAATAAATGGGTTTGAGAAGTGAACGCAAAGTAGAAATAACCTAAACGTGCATTCTTTGAAATAGCCAACAAGGGGCGACACCTCTAGATACAATAACAAGTCTATTTGTATTGTAGAAAATGACCGGACTTCTCATTCAATTTGCTACCTCAGGAAACCTTTTCTAAATGAGTTTATGGTTTCAGTGGCAAGTTTCAAGTCTCCTTCAACACAGCAGGATGTTCATTAAAAAAAGAATGATCCCATTTAAAGTAAAACAGACAACAAAGAACAACAATTTCAGGGCAGCGATGCCTTGTAATTGACAGGATGTGCAAAATCTCCTCAGTACTCAGTCACATTCAGCCCTTCCTTGTTATAGCAGGTTATAAAACAGCATGAAGGCGACAACCAACTGCTAAGCTCGAGGCATCAAAATAGTATTAAATCAAAGGGTGACGTCACCGTTATGCTGCTACATCCAACTTGTAAATACATTCAGGTCAATAACATAAATACGCAACATTTTGGGAAACACACTGCCGTGCTTTCTAGCAGGAAGTTAATTGAAGTGGATTGATAACAATTTCCTGTTCGCTCAGTCAAACATGGCTCTTCGTTGCATTAAGAAGCGCTGAATTTTTTGTTTTTTACAGAATTTCGCGCAAACAGTGTATTTCTGGATTTTCTTTTTTAATGACGCATAGAATAAAGCGACTGGTGGAATCTCACAATTTTGTAATTTTTCTAATGAAACCACATCCCATATATGTTTAAAGACTATCGGAAACTTGAAAAGTTGACCATCCTTCCAGTTCCAGTTCCAGGCTCTGATAAGTGTTGAAGTTCGGCAAACTTTAAAGGAAAACATGTCTTTCAAACCCGCTGGCAGGTTTTGGGGTCCAAAGGGTTACCAGAGATGGAAGCATGGTGCGGACCACCTCGTCCAAAACTCCAGAAAACAAATGAAGAGTTAATTTGCAAAAACAGATAACTCCATCTCCACAAACCTTCAGAAAACCCACTTTTCCATCGGCTACCTGAGACAATATCAATCAAACTTAATTATTTCTATTCTTGTCATGTCATTTCTACTGAGTCACATCCACTCAACTTCAGTTTGATATTATCTCAAGCAAACAACAAAAAAATACGTTTTCTGAAAATATATGAAAATTGAGTTGTTGTTGCAAATGAACTCTTCAAATATTGAACTATTCCTTTAATTGAAAAATCAATAATGAACAATCCAAATATCCGTTAATATTTGGATGTGAAATGCTCTATACATTATAATTTAACCTGATCAATCCCTAAGAAACATATGAAAAAAAGAAATAAATAACTGAAAAGAGCCTCCCCTATGACTTCCCCAAACTGCTTATGTCAAAATAAAGCAGTTGACGTAGAGAAGTTCCCCATCACAAACCATTTACAGAAAGAAATGAGATTTGGCATATTTGGCTTCATTTGGGTTTTTTTTTTTTCTTTTTTCTTTTTTAGAAAACTGCTGTCTCCTTGGAGTGCCTCGAGGTTAAGTGCACTGCTTTACAAACACAATTAAATTTCTCTCTTGATGGGGTGTTGATGAGGTCATCGGAGAAGGATCGCACTCATCAGCAAAATGTGATTCCTTCTGACATTTAATTTCGGCGGATTTGCACGCTGCTGACACTTTTAGCCTCGGAGATAGTTGTAAAGGAGAAAAAGAAGAAGAAGAAGAAGAAGAAGAAGAAAAACACCGTCACACGTGGAAACAGTTGTATGTGACGGTTTGGCAATCCTTGGCGTTGGGGTGGAAAATCTGCAACATTAAGAAAAACTCTTAAAGGTTGGAGGAATGTTGAGCAGCAGCAGCAGCAGCAGCAGCAGCAGCGGGGAGATGTTGTGAAGGTACGTGAGTTGAAAGCTGATAAACACAGAAATAATAGAAAGCTTCCAATGCACAGTATGAAGAGGGAAATCTTCCAAGACAGCTCCTAAACCAGACAGTTCCTCCTCACTCACAGACGCCAGCAGCTCCTTAAGGTTACATGTTACAAAGTCAGCATTCCTAACAAATCCTCTGGCGAGCATGACTTTCATACTGTATCTGCAATAGGCTTGTTAAAATCTTATGTTCCGCTGCCTGTGTACTGACCCAGTGACTCTCCAGGGGTGATTTTGACTGGACTTAAATGTCGTTTTTTTGATTTAACAAGGGAGCAAATTCTATTTTAGTCGGTGTGCCGGAGCCAAATTAGCTTAATGCTGTGATTTGTATAACTATAAAGCATCACTAATGGATACTCGGAATATTTTGTCTGGCAAACTAGCGACGTCAAAATATCCCTATTTGTCTTTTCGCGAGTAGATAAAATTAGCAACTGATGACAAGACATTAGACGCAGAATCCACAGTGTATCAGTTACATCCCCTTCAGTTAATGCAAAAACCATCTGAGGTCGTACAGTCGTGGGGGAGAAAATGCAAAAAAAAAAAGGATGAAAGTGCAATGAATGAAGAGCTCCAAAGGCAGAGATTAATCAAAGGAACGGACAGCTGGCGGATCAATGTCAGGAGAACACAACCCTGTCAGGAGGAGCTGCGAAAATCCTTCCACCTTCAGTGAGCAGGACAGAAATCCTAGTGAGAGATAGGATCTGGGGAGAGTGGGATTCTTTCATACAGCTGCAGTGTTCCCAACAGCACAAATTATTGTGCCTTGCCTGCTGACTAGGCAGTAATAAATCCACTGAGACAGAGCATGGACGTATCACCCAGTCAACATGCAGGATAACACATGAAGGGATATTCGGCGGGGAAATGTTTTTTTTTTAAGAGGAATCCAGCTATTAGTTTCAGTGTAGTGCGAAGCAGCAACGAGAGAGAAAATGTGCCGTGGCTACTGATTAGTGAGGCGGGAAAAGGGCAGGCTTTGGGGCATTTTGATTTCAGCATAATGAGTGAGAGAAACGTGTTTGCTTTTGATTTCCTACCAAGAAATGCCTAGATGTGAGTTCGGCTCTGAATCCGTGGCAGTGATCAAACACGCAGCTCAAATGAAAACACGGGCTTGCATCATCACAGTGCAATATTTTAATCTAATTAATATTGCAATCTTTTTCATTAAATTAACTCGCTTTTTTGACCCCCCCAACTATTTCCTGCATTTTTCTGCACTATCCATTTGGCATGTTTATGCTTCGCCGTGTTTTCTCCATATAGTCGTTTTATATATTAGTTATAGAAACAGGAAAACAAGGCAACAAGACATGCATACAAATCATTGCAATTTGACCAAATTGACAGTAGCCTCAGCCTTGGCTTTTGACTCCTTTACAGTGAATCGGAGCTGTAAAACTTGAAAATCTGGCAAAACAAACAGCCATCTGATTCAGATGTTATCAGCCTATTAAATGGTTGTTTATCAGTGCACATTGTTCCAACACGTATGAGGCTGTCATGACTTCCTCTACATCTATTAGGTTCTGGAGGCACATTTCTGACCATTGACAAACAGTAGCCCTGATAACGTTACCAACTTCTAAACCTCTTTGTAACTAATCTGGCTGTATGTTTTGGGTCATTGTCCACCTGGAAGACCCATTTGCACCCAAGCTTTAACTTCCTGGCTGATGTCTTGAGATGTTGTTTCAATATTTCTACGTATTGTTCTTTCCTCAGGAAATCTATTTTGTGAAGTGCACCAGTCCCTCCTGCAGCAGATCACCTCCACAACATGATGCTGCCACCCCCGTGCTTCACAGTTGGGATGGTGTTCTCAAGCTTACAAGCTTCCCCCTTTTTCCTCCAAATGTGATGATGGTCATCATGGCCAAACAGTTCCTTTGTCCCTGTGTGCATTTGTAAACTGTAATCTGGCTTTTTTATGTTGCTTTTGAAGTAATGTCTTCTTCCTCTCTGAGTATTCTTTCAGCCCACGTCGGTACAGGACTGGTTTCACTGTGGATAATGAAACTCGCTTATCAGCTTCAGCAGCATCTTCACAAGGTCTTTGCTTTTGTTCTGGGGTTGATTCGCACATTTCAAACCAAAACACTTCATCTCTGTATGATGGCTGGACATTCCCATGGTGTTTATACTTGAGCAGAATTGCTTTAACAGATAAATGTGTGGAACCTTCAGGCATCTGGAAATTGTACCCAAGGATGAACCAGACATGTGGAGGTCCACAGTTCTCTTCCTGATAGCTTGGCTGATTTCTTTAGATTTTCCATGTTGTCACAAAAGGAAGCAGTGTGTTTAAGGTGTGCTGTAAAACACATCCACAGGTGTGCCTCCAATTAACTCAAATGTTCTAAATTAACCTATCAGAAGCTTCCAAAGCCATGACATCATCATCTGGGCTTTCCCAAATAGTTTGAAGGCATAGTAATCTTAGTGTATATAAACTTCTGACTTTGAAGAAAGTAATACAACATTCTCTCTCTGTCATTATTCTGGTGTCTAGCAAATAGAAACAAACTCAACCTAACCTAACTGACCTAAAACAGGAACAGTTTAGTCTGATTTAATGTCAGACAGTGAAAAAAAAAAAAAAGGTTCTATGTCTTTTCATACAGTGTATGTAAACTTCTTGTTTCAACTTATACAGCATGTAAACAATAAACAGTTTCCAGAAGGTTAGCCTCCCTCATGTACATGTGCAGGGAATCAGTGTCCCTGGATAGAAATCCCTAAAGGAGATTGGCCAAATGGCTGCTCCAGGGATTTAATTTCTGTTTACTTTTAGTCAGAATTGAATCCTG